AAGCGAATTTAATTGAGAGAAAAAGTTCAAATGAAAGACTTTCATGTCATATTTGCAATTTATCGACCCCCATCTACAGACCCTTACGACTTCAGTAGGGACTTATATACATATTTACAAACTTGTTCTTCTGATACAGCTTCTTATTCCATATTTTTAGGCGACATCAACATTGATATTTTGAGAAATAACGATGTGACTGATGAATATTTGAATATCCTGAGTGAGTTTGGCTATGTTTCCGCTATCAATAACCCGACTCGAATGCAAGGAGATAACGGATCNTAGTCCCCTCTTGTGGTTTGTGAGGTGACACCCTACTGCTTGAAAGAGTTATTGCTATGGTAATTCGAACTGATATCACCGATCATTTTTCAACTGCGATTCAAATGATATCTGATACTCCTCAATGCAATAAAAAAATCACTCAAAAGACGATGACGCACATTAAACAATCCGAGTTAAGAAAAAATATGGAAAACATATCATGGGAGGTGGTCTTTAATGCACCCTCAGCAGATTATGCTATGAACAGTTTCCTCAATATCATCAATAATGCCATAGAGCTATGTACAGTTCAAATAAGCCCTAAAAGAAAAAACACAAAGATAGCGCCATGGATTACAATTGTTTTAGTGAAATCGAATCCGATGAATATGCAGTTGAGGACTGATCTTAGAGTATATCAGAATAAACTAACAAATTTAATAAGAAGAGCAAAGTATGACTATTATCAGAAAAAAATTAAAATGAACTCGACAGACTATATGTTGTTGCTTGAAGTGTGAGGAACCAAATAAATGTTTTGGGTAAGCAAATATAACCTTATAAAGAGTGACAAAGTGAAAAAAACTATTTTCCAATTTAGGATTGGTCAGTTACAAAATTGTATATGAGCAAGATTCTTCTTTACGAGAAATAGATAACGAACTAAGGATTTCGCTGGAATCCCAGAAATATTCAGAAAACAAAAAACTAATACCAATGCTACAGGATACACAAGGTTCATCACCTTAATGGAAGAGACTACGGAAGGAGAATACGATTTGCAAAATGGTTAAGACGTAGAAATAGGGAGGTTGAAAAATTTGTAAAAAACTAATATGGACTGACGAATCTAAATTCACCAACAACGCTTGATACAACAGAAACTTCCAGTATAGATGGAATAATACAAATAAACATTCACATAGAGAAACCAATTTCCAAGAAGGGGTTCGGAATAAATGTTTGGTTGAACATTTTGGGAACAAATTTACTAAGTCCTTTCGTTCACGATGAACATTTGAATGGTGAAATGTATCATAATTTTTCATTGAGTCGGATGACTACTCAGATGAATTGCCACCGAATATCTGCCAGGAAATACAATATTTTCATCAAAATGTTGCCTCTCCCCATAATACAACAATAGTGAGGAAACATTTAGATGCAATATTCCCAAAATTATGAGATGCATATAATAGCATTACACCTATCATGCTAGAAAATTGCCACAGAAAGTGTGTGGACAGAAGTTTTTTTCAGAAATTCATTTTAAAATAAATTGTTTTTCTGTTTGATTGTTTTCACTAATGATGCTAGTTATTTCAAATGAAACGCTGTACAAATCTCAAGTGTGACGGCGAAACATCGATGTATACCAGTGAGGATGACGGTGTTCCATGTAAGTGCAATTCGTTACCATTTATTTAAAGTAGAACTCATGTTAATGATATCTGATTTCATTCCACAACGAATGTTTGAAGTACAAACTGAGTAGAGAAAAGTATCTTTTGTATAATTTAGTGTTCATATAGAAGTATTTGTTTCGAAAGATATTTTCTTTCGTGTAATTCAATGTTTATATGAAAGTAGCTGTTTCAGTAGGACTTTCTTTCAGTTTGTGTCTGAAAGTTACTTCTTTGCGTGATCTACACATCCATGTACAGAGTTACTTATTTTCAAATTGATTACTTCCTTCCTTTCTTTGGAAGATTCCCTCACCTTTTTTTTGTGTCAAGATGGAGTAGAAAGCCAAAAACTTTCTTTCCCAGCAATATTACCATATGATAAAAGAAACGGCCTGTAGAAACGTTCAAGTACATTATCATTTGGTTCGTGTGAATTTGTGAGGTTAACACCAGGGATTTTTTTAATATCAAAATATTTCATGTGTTTCGCGTACAAAAGGTGTTTGAGAAATACTACTAGATATCTAGCTACGTATGAGAAATTGTACTCTGAGGTGGCGTCAGCCAACCAATAGATAATTTCAACGCATTGAGAGCAATTTACGGAAACATAGTTCACTAGAAAAAACCCTCGAATAAGAATTGTTCACTCACTGAAAGAGACTGCGATGTTGAAAATTGCGTTTCAAGAAAGATGAAGAGAATATTTAATAATGGTACAGCAATCTTTATCCTATTTAGTATTCGTACCAAAAAAAGAAGAACCACTGAGAGAGTTCGCATATCGACTACGTCAAACAGAAAGCTTCCTGTGCTAGCAATAAAAAATTTGAACACTTTTTGAAACAAATTTTAATTACATGTGTATTGATATCTAGCCAATTCATGATGATAATTGGTTTTCAAACAACACTTATATATTTTCATAAAAAATGTAATAAACGCTCTACGTGTAGTTCATGAATATATCTTAGAATATATCTTCGAGTTCTTCATGAAAAAAATGAGATCGATACGGAATTGAAAAAATGGATGATGGATTCCAGTGAACAAAATTGCATTGAAAATTGTATCAATGGAGCAGGATAGTTAATAAACGAAATCCGGCAGTTTTTTGTAATCGCCTTAAAGCAACCATAGATAATCAGATCGAAAAAAATATTTGTTTTCCCAAATATTCAATATAAGTTAACTAGTTTGGTGATCCAATAATTTTTCTGAAAAAAGGTTGGTTGGGTAACAGGAACAATTTTTTCTTAAAAAAAAAACAACAATTGTTTCCTTGCCGACGTTTCGAATTTAATTCTGGGCTCTGTAACAATGGATTTCCATAAACAAACCTTCCACAAAACTTATACGATTATTATTGTTTCAATTTCACAAGAAATAATGAGTTCTTAATTGATCTACTCACCGAAAAGTAGTTTTTTTGTGTTGATAATACTACTATTTCAAAAGACATCAGACAAATCAGATACATTTTAAAAAAAAATAAAAAGCATTGCGGATAACCCATATTTCCGAGACAACACCAAAATAAAAGGACATGAAACAAACGAATGGCTTCATCTGTGATTCTGAGAAGATGGTGTCTGTTTTTTAATCAATGGCAGAAATGAAAACAATGAAAAAAGGGTAAATTATTCCCGTATTTTACTTATCAAATTGAAATATGCAGTAATAAGGCCATCGACATCTCTTCTGGTGTTAACACTATCGCAGTTGAGGATATGTATCATTTCGCTCAAAAGTCTTTTGGATAAATATGGTTGAACATCTATAATAGTTGGATGATTAAAATAAAAAATGTGTCCATATTCTTTTTCATGTATAAGGAGAGCTGTGATATTTTCAATATTTCGTTTCTTAGAGTCTCTCGTGTGTTCTGAAACTAGTGTTTCAAGATACCGTTCGGTTTGACCCACATAACATTTGTGACAGTTTCCACCGTTCAATTTGTACACTATATTGGATTGGTGTTTTTGTTTTTTGTTAAAAAAAAATGCTTTGCAACTGTATTTCCATTTGAAAACGCCACTTTAGTTTGTTCGGTACTGAGTAGCATTCCAAGTTTATCAGATGAATTTTCTATACATCATTTGTGATGTACCAATTATATCATCAATGATATTTTTCGAAAGAAAACACTTGTTGTCATAGGGTGAATTTAATCCATCACCCATACTCTTGAAAAGAAGTGGTGTTGTTTTCCAAGTGAATTTTAAATTTCATATTCAGTATTTAGTTCTGTTATATAATGTGTTATGAAGATGATTTTGGTTGGTATCATATGCCTGAAAAGTTGAGGATGATACAATTTTTGAAACCGAATCTTTCGTTTTAATCAGATCAAATTCAAGTATTTTCACTTTCCAATGGGAATACCTTATTTCTATATTCAAAATTTTTTTCTGAAAATTTAGTAAATCTTTGTGGCAGACACTTGGGTGTCTGACTTGTTTTATCTTGAATTTTGTAATTTTACATTAGGACCTATATATGATCATATATTTCGAGTTTTTTACCTTCGCCAAACTGCAAGGCTCATTAGATTTTTGAAGACGTGGCAGATTTTAGCCTTTTTAGTCAGATTTTTAGATTTTAGCCTTTTTGTTGGTCAAAATCATTAAATAGAAGTTATTGATGAATGAAACAATTTTTTTAGTTGAAAAGTATTTGAAAAAATTTATTTATGTATCTCATTTTGAAGCTTTCACGAGAAAAAAATATTTACCGACAGAAGTGAATATCTAAATTATTTTCTGTAGTATCTTCGGAACATGTAACTCACCGAAAATTCATATAAGCTTTGAAATAAGAGGTCATTGTTTATTTATAGTGTAACAGGGATACATTTTGTGTGGGTTCTATGTAATTGTGAAATATTCACACATTCAAAATACATAATTTTTAGTTTTGGGAGTCGATACCGACAAAAAAATTAACTTTGGCATCCTGAGAATAATTTACTATCACCCATAACTATCACAAAATGTATTCCTATTACCAAGAGTGCGAGAGCAAATAATATTACTTTGAAATTTTCGATTATTTCCGTATATCTCCTAAACCAAAAACCCTATGGTAAATTTTTACCAGTCGATTATATTCCAAAATGGTCTACTTTGCTACAATTTTGTCGACTCCTATCTGTTACCGTTCACGTAATCTCCATGCATAGATTCTAATGTGAATAGTTCTCAATATTAAATATCTGCAAACCACCAGTAGAAAATTAGCGACTATTTTCATTCAGGTATTGATCTACTACCTTGGAAAAAATCACAAAAATTAAAATTGTATTTCCTCACCTCGTGCCTTCTTTTCTTTCTCATGAGTTGTGATAATAGCATTCAACCTTTCGATTTCCGCTGATTTTTCTGATATTTCTGAAATTGAATATATCCAAATTACATTACGGTATATATTAACATTGAATTTCCATACCTTTCCGATTTTTCTCCTCCAATGCTTCTATAGTGGCGTTTAATTTTCCGATTGTCTTCTTTTCGGCAGATGCACCTAAAATGAATGTTGAATTTAATATACATTTGTCGAAATTGCAATCGTCCTTCCTGAGTTGAATGAGTTTTTCAGACATAAGTAATTTTTATCTTTGTATTCCTGAATGTGTCCTCCAAAAATAAGCAATTTTATCAATCACCAGATTTGCAATACTCTTCTCGATGCGAGTTTCACAAACTGAATTAGCATCTTCAGGAGATGAAGAAAGCTCAACTTCTGAAGACGCCAACCTGGTTCGTTAAACGAGTGTAGAGAAAAGTATTGCATTTTTGGTGATTAGTAAAATTGCTCGTTTTGGGATTTATTCTACGCCAAAGTTTTCACTTTTATCTTTCATTCAAAATTTATCAAAGAGAACGAATGTCAACAATTTCTGAAAAAGAAAAATACAAATAATTTTTTGTTCACAAATAGAGTTGAACTCAACAAATCATCGTTTGAACCCTCCCGAAGGGTCTTCACTTTGCCGTGGTGGGAGGGTTTGCGTACTGTGATGAAGTTACTGGATATGTCGGCGGCAGCTTAGCTGCTGGTAGGGTTTCCCAGGCCGAAGAGGCCGTAACAGAACAGTCATACCAAGAAGGACCTAGACTTATTCCAAGGTGTTATGTGACCAGTGCCAAAGGATGAATGGTACCTTAGCCTCATCAGCTATCACTAACGGAGCCTTTGGGATACCAGGCGACCTCCCAAAGTATCCAGCCTTACATCCATGCAGGGGGCACCATGGATGTGGACAACCCTTTCCCCCATACTCGTGGGACTTGGATGGATACAACAAGAACTACTAGAATATCAGAGGAGGACTCTTCGAAAGACTCCTCGCAAAACCAGACTATCCTGGAGGTGCAAACTGACCAGCCCCACCGAAAGCATAACTGCAGGATTGACGGAAGTCGAACTGCAGAAGAAAAGGCCATAAGGGGCGCAAAGGCGGAAACTGATGAAAGCACGAAAAATAACTGCGGAAACATGGATTGAAAAACCATGTAACACAAAAGACCGCAGAAAAACAAAAGTAACTTCTGTGGAAAGGGCCAAAAAGAGACCTAGAGAGGATGTAAAAACTCCACCACAGAAGATACTAAAAAACCCAGGACTTCCAGAGAAACTGGGACCTATAGCGAAGCTGCTAGTGGACTGAGGGTGGCTGTCATCGACACGCGACACCCTGAGGTCACCTCTGGTAGCCTCGAAAACCTGCAATTCAAAAAGACTTCATTCGGCGCAGGGGTCCTATGGATAACCTGCGCGAATGAAGGGACACAAGAATGTATCAGAGGAAGCATTGGAAACTTGGAAAATCTTTGGGAGGGGGCGGACTTGTCTGTGGTCGAGGCCAACGAACTCCCTAAGAGACCAAGAGTCCTAGCCTCCATTCCGGACCAAAAAGACGAGGAGACTACAGTTAGGACACGGCTCAGTGAGCAGAATCCTGCCCTGGGAGTGGAAAACTGGATCCTCCTGAGCAGAAAAGTGGAAGAGGAAGGATAAATCCTGGCCTACTCCACGAATGAAAGTTCCTTCAGGACCTTGGAGGGAAACATGTTTAAAACCTACTACAAGCTGGGCATGGTCACCTTCAAGGTCCTGAAGGGTCTTAACAGCACTGTCAGAGTGATACAAACAAACCTGCAATACAGTAAGGGGGTCTCGGCTCTCCTTACCAAAGTGATGAGGGGGTTTGATATTGCTCTCATACAAGAACACTGGGTGTAGAGGGATAAAATAATGGGATTGGGGGGCATCAGAGGGGAGTTAATTCATAACAGAACCTCAGAGACCCCAAGAGCATGCATATTCATCCATAAAGGAATAAATATACTACCGTTGAGTAATTTGTGTTCCAGAGACTTGACGGCAGTCAAAATAAAGACGGCTGGCGGGGGCGGACCTGAGGAAATCGTCATTCTGTTTAAAAATCTGTTTAAAATCTGTTTTTCCGTTAACCAGCTGTCGCACCCCTACGAACGACAACCCTAAGAAGTCGAAACTTGTGCGAGCTAAGGATTAACGAGGTCTTAACGTGTGATTCCTAACACGGGTTGGACGATAGCAAGTGAAGATCGATCGTTCAGACTAGGGCTTGAACCACCGACCAACACGGCAGTCAGTTCGAGTGAGTGAACAAATCACCCACGTCGAACCGCTTGGCTACCGATGGACCAAAGAGGAAGGGCTTAACATAAGCCCATCCAAATCGACCATAGTAGCATTCACCAAGAGAACTAAAACGGAGGGTCTCGGACCTCTAAAACTTCGAGGTGAAGAAATACAAGTATCGGGGGAGGTTAAATATCTGGGAGTAATCCTAGATTCTAAACTGACCCTGAACCAACACTTGGACAGGATAAAGAGGAAAGCGGAGGTAGCACTGATGCTCGCCAGACGCACCTATGGAAAAACATGGGGACTGAAACCAGACATGGTATATTAGCTATACAAGATGGTGGTTGAACCCATGATAACATACGCATCTCTGGTCTGGTGGCCAAAGGTGAAGCAGGCAACCGCCATCAACAAACTAGGCAAGATGCAAAGACTTGCATGTTTGGGAATGACGGGAGCAATGAGAACTACCCCAACAGCTGCATTGGTGACACTCCTGAATCTACCTCCTTCACACTTTGTGATAATGGGGGAGGCCAGAATGGGTCAATTCAGACTGGAAAACTCACCGGACTACAGAAGATCGGACCGAACAGAAATTTCGGAACAAGTGGAGGAGCACATATTAAATATGTGCACGGACCACATGACACCGAAGTACACCTTTAACACAAACTTCACGGCCAAAATCATAAGCCGTGAAGAGTGGAAGACCATTAGTCATCCCGAAAACATGTTTGGAAAAGACACTTGGTATACAGATGGATCGAAGACCAAACATGGAACGGGAGCTGGAATATACCGAGCGGATAGAAATCTAAACAACAGCTATCCGCTAGGACTATACACATCCGTATTTCAGGCGGAAGTGTATGCTATCTTGCAGTGTGCAAGGCTTATTAAATTGAGACCTCAAAGAAATGAGCGGATCAATATTTATACAGACAGCAAGAGCGCACTAGGGGCTCTGACAAACCCGAAGGCGACATCATCACATACTAGGCTAACGGTGAAATAGTGAAACAACGTTTAATTCTTCTTTTTAACCTACTGCATTTAACTCCATACAGAACAAAAATTATTTCTTCAAAACAGTGAATTAGGTTTGGTGAAGTGAATGTGAATACAAACTTCATATTAAATGTGAGTAGAAAACCATATTTTCTTCAAAAACTGTGGGCAATCACATTGTTTACGATCCGTCCTGAAAATTTTATGATAAGGATTACGGCTGGGGCACTATCCCACCATAATTCGAAAGTCAGCAGAATACCCAATTTCTCCGTTCGGATTTTCAAATCGTAAATTATGGATGATAAAACACAACTGATTTTAGAGGAAATTAGAAAAACTAAAATAGAGTTGAAGAACAGCATTGAAGCGAGCGAGGCAAAAATTTTGCTCAAAATTGAGGATCTCAAGTTTAGAGTTCAACAACTCGAAGACGAGAACTCGTTCCTGAAAGGAAAATTGGAGAAATTAGAACGGAACGAAAAACGAAACAATATTATTGTATTTGGGTGGTCCACACCTAACGAAAATATTACATCTGAATTCATTTGCAGTGAACTCAGTAAACTGGTGGAAGTCGAAGTAAAAGAATCAGACTTGAACAACTTTTATTGTCTTGGAAAAAAAGAGAAGCGTCCTGTGAAAATTGAATTTTTGTCTCACATCAAAAAAACTGAAATTATAAAAAATAGTAAAAAACTTTAAGGAAGCGGATTTTCTATAGCTCACGATTTAACTGATCAGCAGCGCAGAGAATTTTTTCACTGAAGGAGTATCTTCTCCAAGAGAGACGCAACGGCAAGAGGTGCTTCATCAAAGGGAGTAATTTAGTTATAGAGGATAAGGTATTCTCACTACAAGAATTACAAGAAGCGGAGCAAGAAACAGAGAGAAAGTGTAATAGCACGCCAGCCATCCCAACTCAGCCACCGCTATTAGACTTGGAAGATAAAATTCAAATACCAAAAAACTTCAAAGACACTAAAACAAGTAATCAACTGAACAACACTCCAAAATCTAGCGGTAACACAAAGAAAATTCTGAAAGCTGACAAAACCATTAGATTACGATCAAACTCACAACTTTTTCGATACTAAAGTTTTTTAGGAGTGAATTATTATAAACATCTTTTTTGAGTACATTATATTTATAGAACTGGAAAAAACCTTTATGTGAATATGCGTGAAAATTGAGTTCAGTTCCATGTGAATTATGATTCCATACTATTGGTTAAAATTAATATCTGAATTATTGCAAGGGAGTATTTTTTAATAGTAATTTCAGAGCCTTATAGAGTTGATCAATTTTCTTAGCAAGATCAATAAGTTCTAAATTGTTTGTAGTAAAATTTTTATAATGTACCTAAGGAAGTTCTTGTCTTAATGAATTACTTGATGCGGTTTCATGAACTGATTTGTGAAGAACTCAGGTTTATCTCAACACCAAACAGTCATTACAACGCCTCAACACGTGTTTGGATTACCAAGTGATCATCTTCAAGAGGAAGATTAATAGTTCATCATTAAAAGATCATGCTGAAGAGGAAGAATGCGTTCAATCGATCTTCTTAAAGATTATCACTTGGTGATCGAAAACACGTGTCGAGGTATTAAAATATTGGTTTGGTGTTGGGATAAAACTCCAGTAATATTCATTACTACACCAAGGGTTCTAAACAAGTATCAGCCAATATGACATATCAAATGTTTTTGGATAATTGCTAGTCACATGACTTATTTTAAGGAGAGATTGATTTTTGGAAAACAGGTTTTTTGGATTTCAACATCTCCATATTTTCCAAGGAAGGAAGAAAGCAATAAATTTCAACATTTGTTATGGAATAGAAATGAGAGCCATTTACAGGACTGTTAAACCATATAGTATATGAAAGATGAAACTTCACTTACATAGAACACTGTCATCTTCAACGGCGGACATTGACATTTCCGAATAAGACATTTATCCTACTGACTCTTAGGCATCTTCATCTCAAGATGAAGCACTAACTTGATAAAGTTTCCATAAAGTGAGTTAGTGTAAAGCGAGTGATTCATCTTGTAATGTTATCCAGATTGGTGCCGATGAGACAATAAGACAAGTTGCTTATTTCAAAACATAGAAGTCCACCATTGAGGATGTTCCATGTAAGTGAAATTTTATCTCTTGCTTATACAACATAGCGGAGCAATCCTGCGAATGATATCTGATTCAAACGAATGTTTGGAGTACAAACTGAACATAGAAATAGTTGTTGCAAAATTATTATATGAAAGTAGTTGTTTCAAGAGGCCTTTCTCTTTCAGTTTGTGTCTGAAATTAACTTATATGCATGATTTACACACCTTTGTGAAGAGTTTATGTTGAAACTAACTGCTTTATTCCTTCCTTTGGAAGTTTCCCACATTTTTTTTGTATAAAGATGGGGAAGTAGAAAGCCAAAACCCTGAATAGAAAACTTAACTACTTCAAAATTTTTCACCATTGTGGAATATCACAATACCCAAAAAATTGATAAAGTATTAGTGTTATCTTTCATGAAGTGGATAGCCGAATACTCTTTAAAACCAACTTCATACAGTACTTCTTTTCTTTTCCTAGGATTAACACTTTTTACACCAAACTTCAATGGAAAATTTTTCAGGGATTATTGAAAGTAGTGTGATTCTACCTATGGCTCAGTAAACAATGCAGCCAATGTTACTTTGACCAAGAATACCCATATATATAATTTTAAATTGCAAAATATTGTAATTTACACATATACATTTTCATGGTCTTTTGTATAATTCTATAGAATTTGGATATGAAATGGTTAAAACTGAGACCCGAGGGAATGCTAAAGCCAAGGGCTATTGTAATACAATGAATATGAGCAGCATTGACAGGATAGACCAAATGGTGCCTTGCATCTGTAAGACATTTGCGATGTTATAAGAAACTTGGTATTTCTGTACTCTAAAAAAGACAATTATCTTTTTATGATATCCTTATAGCAATAATAGAAAAGCTTATTCCATCAAATACAAACAGCAAAGGAACAAGTTTTCACGTGCCTACAGTGTTTGGCGCAACAGATGCAAAGTTTGTAGGGAAAATAAGCTTTGTAGATTTTCTGTCATTGTGTTACCTGTCCAAATCAATCTAGATTAAGTGTCTGCCAGATGAAATACATCTCATCTTTATCAATTTGCTCAGTGGATGAGAAATTGCCAAATGTTGGCTCAAATGTATAAGTATATTTGACTCCAACAAAAGTTCGCCATTTCAAAAACTTCCAACAATTTGTAGCACATGTGTCTTTTTATTTTCACCAAAAGGATGTATGAATGACCCAATTTTTAGCCTTATTATTATAGTAGTATAGTAGTCTTCATTAAAGTAAAAGTTTTATCTATGAACTAATCCTCACCCTTAAATATTACCAGTCTTCAAAAACAATAGAAAAATAAGAATTACATTTGTATACACAAATTGTTACACAAATATGATGAAAATGCTTTTCCGGAAAAATTATTTGGATTTTCAATTTCACATCCTATTTTAGGAAGAATACGTTATTCTTTCTAAGAATTTCAGAAAGTCACCGGACCACATTGTGTTTTTTAAACTATGCAAATTGTCATTTAAACTATGCAAATTATCACACTGTATATCACCTATACTGATTGACGTGAAACTGATCTTCACGTTAGACTTAAGACATGTTCAAATGATGATAAGCAGGTTCAAGTTCCAATAAACTTATAAAAAACTTTGTTAGTGAAACTAACTCAAGAGTAGTGTTTTCATGCAATTTATATAGAGTCCTAACTCATTTTAATCGAATCAACAGTCATGCCTTTTTTCATTGGTCTTATTTTTGATTGAATCATTCCAGTGACAAGTTATCTTTATCTTTGCTTTAACGAACATCTAGTAGAGAGCTGGAATAGTTAGAGCCAACGAAACACAATCACCCTCACTTAGTGAGAGCAGTCATTCTTGAATCACACGTCAAAGACAATTGCAAGTGGGCAATTCCAATACTAGTATTGGTTGCTATTTTAGTGAATTCCAAGGGGCCAATGAAAAGTGTACAATTTCCAGGGTAAGTGTGCATACTCACTAAAATCCTTTAAATACTGGTGAATCTGGTGCTAACCTATACAGGTCATTTCAATAAACTTGAGAGTGTACTTTTTTATTGGAAGCATTATGTCAAGTATGGAAATAAGTGTGGAATAGTTTTCATAATCTCTTCAGGTCCCATTCAAGACGTAATAAAAATTGACTGACAAAGCATTCAATCTTCTCTTCAGACTTCAGAAACAAAAATATATATATTTTTCCTTCAATATTTGTGAAAGTTAGTAAATGATAAAAATTAATATAAGTAAACAGACCCGTCTGTTGAAAGTTAAAGTACAAATCTAAAGTACCAACTCTTGTCAGTAATTGTATCAGGACATACTGGATCAAAGGAATACCATTCAGCATGCACTACTACTACTACTAACCTTTGAAGGGTGAATTCCCACATATACACTGGCACCATTTGCCTTTTCTCGTTGAATTCTCTCAATATAGATAACGAATTTTTTCCTGTACACTTGAACAACTTTTCCGACTTGTTGTCCTTTATAATGTCCCCTTACAACCTATAACACAAACTTTAACAAATTTTTGCCAATTATCATTACATTTTTAATATACCTGTACTTCATCGTCCTTACGAATGGGCATGGTGCACACATTGTATTTCTGCCTGAGCTCCTTAGACAAAGGGGCTGACATAAGTTTCCTTCGAATATGAGAAGGCGCCGTGAAGTGCCTTTTCCTGTTTTTGCTTCTTGAAGCAGTAACTAGTTTGTTGAATTTCATTTTGCTCTCCTAGAAAATTTGATAGTAGAATTAGAGAATGTGAGGTTATGTTTACAATTACAAGTTATATCAACCAAATAATAAGAATTTTCTAAATATGAGTGCACAATATAATTGAACAATAATTTTTATAAAACACAAAAGCAAATATTATAACGAATGACTTTGAATGGAGTTGATGAATTCAGATTTATTTCACAAGCAAATCTTACCAAACGCTTCTCCACTACACACAAACTAAAAAGAAAGAACCTTAGAAGAAGTTAAGAAGAATGATTATTGACATGACATGACATGACAACATTGCCAAAGTCTACTCTTTACATTGTTGTCAACACGCTGTTCTGTCAAACTTTACAATTCTGTATCTCTTTGAGTTTTTATTGCCACCAATTATGAATTTTTGAAAAAACTTATGGATATTATCAATTTGAAACAAGAAAATATTTCTCCAGAAACAAAATTTCATTTAACTTTGCAATGATCACCTACACTCCACGGATGTAGAGAGTTGGTGTTGGGTAATAACGCCAGTACGCCTTCCAAATGTTTTGGAGCTGCGCAAGGCAAAAATCCAAATGTATTGCCATTGGTGGTAATACAAAAATAAGAAGAGAGATAAAAATATTAGGTTTTGTCAAAATATCTCGATGAAAAGGCCTTGGCCAGCGAGAATAATTTGAAAAATTAATCTTAGAAAGAGGTACAATCAACATTTATCATTGATGCTAACATCAACATGATAATGTAGATACAAATATGTACTTTGATCAAGATACTTTGATGAAAAGGAATTATTAGTCAACAAAACATGAAAAATCATTGGGTAAACTACCCTTCGAAAGAAGTAGATTCAACATTTTTCATCGTCGGCAATAATAGAATAAAAAAAGAGATAAAAATGTGGTGAAGTTTGGTCGAAATATTCCGGTGACAATATGAAGTCAGATCGAAATATTCCTATGAGGCTTCGATCAGCAAAATATTTTTTCAATCACCAGAGTATAGTACCCTTCGAATTCAAATTTTTTCATTGGTGGCAAATATAACGTAAGAATAGAGATGAAATTATGAACTCATGATGCACCGTTTGGAACCGTTGGTGTAGTAATGAATATTTCTGGAGTTTTTCCCAACACCAAATCGTTATTTTTAACACCTCGACACATGTTTCGATCACCAAGTGATCATCTTCAAAGAGGAAGATTAAAACAGTTTTAATCTTCCTCTTTGAAGATGATCACTTGGTGATCGAAACACGTGTCGAGGTGTTAAAAATAACGATTTGGTGTTGGGAAAAAACTCCAGTAATATTGAAACTGTGGAGTTTAAACAAAATATTTCGATGAGGCCTTAAGGGGCAAAATATTTCAAAAATTACAAGAGTAAACTACCGTTCGATAAGGGTAGATTTAACTTTTGATGGCAATGATGACATGAAAAGGCAGATGAAAATATAGAGTTTGATCGCCATATTCCGATGGGAAAGCTCTGTTCAGCAAATTATTCCAAAAAAATCACAGAAGTAAAGTATCCTTATATAAGGGTGGATTTCAATCTCATGCACGGTGACATCAATGTCAATTAAAAGTCATATATATTTTTTAATATAAACGTTTCATTTCGTATTACGGATGTCTTATTTGGGCGATTCTTTTCTGGTCAGCAAATTATCCACAATATAACTATATTTACAATTTCCAAGAAACTTTTATGTTTTCCATCTGAAACTATCGTATCTTCTTGACTCGGAATGCATTTATTAAGATTTCTATTTCTACCAGGATATGCGCTTTCTAGTCATTAGTATATAATTTCATTTTTGTGAAATCACATCATAATTCATTGAGAATGAGATTTTTCCAAGACTTTCTCTCCGATTGCGACAGAGGACGGTTGTGTCCGCCCTGAAAAATGGCACGTGAATGTCGTGATCGGAGCGGAGTCCAAAAGGTGTAAGTTAAAAATAAAATATAATCTAAAATGAAATTACGTTTGAATAAACATCGAAATGAAAAATGAGTGAGAACACCAGAACTATTACTCCAGTTTTACCTTCCTAATAATTTTGGAATTTGAAAATTAACTGACTTTCAAATGAATTATATTTTTTTCTAATAATAAGTGTAAATTGAAAACAAATTGTACCTATTTGTGATAATACAACTCATTTTTTGTTTTTGCTCTTCACTATAAGTCAAACTCCAATTATAGGATTCTATCAATTGAACTCATTGTTCGGCACATTCAATGCCTACCTATATTTGAAATGTTTGTAACAGTGCTACAGTGGACCAAATTTTATTTAAATACATTTTTATTGAACTATTAACTGATGAAGAAATTTTATTTATAACTAAATTGAAAAAATAATACATCCATGGGTGTAGTAGGCAACTTTAATGGAAATTTCGAATGAGATGCCAATTAGACCTATAGATGTTATAGTTGTCTATGTTATTTGAAGAAACACTACACAAAAACGAGGAGCCCCTTCACAAGAATCACAAATGTGGCAGTTGTATTTTTATTGAATTTTGCACAACTTACTCTTTCCGCAGCACTCGTTTAGTTTTTTTTTGTTCTTTGTCTATTCCTGAATATTTTTCTATTTTTTTTCAGATTATGTCCCGTAATGGCAACGATATTTTCTACCTATCTTCGGCAAACATTTTTGTAAAATTGACATTCTGAAGTCAAAGATGTTCGCTGGCCTGAATATTTATTGCAGAGAATATGCGCAATCACCACACTCATCTGCAAAATATGGATAAATATCTTTTTATACCAGCGGTAGCGAATCATCTTCAGAGTACAAGGATAATTTGCAATCATTTGATCATGACGATCAATGCCAACCATATGTTCATTGTAATTTAAAATAACAAGGGTTTTTGTTTCATATGCCCTCGAATATTTCTCGATTCCTGCAATATATTTACAAACTCCGTTGAAAAATATAATATATCCCGTTTATCTTTCCAGTTTCCAACGTAGACACCATTACGAAAAACAGCTTTATTCTATCCCCATTTCGATTTTAAACTAGTAACGCCTTCTGGATTTATTTTGTGTTTTTTGTTTAACGTGCCAGTACAATAGATATTTTTCTACGAAAGCGTTTCGGTGAACTTCGTACCATTGTAAAAAATTATCCACATACAAGGTCCAGCTAAACTATCCATTTTTTAATAAAAAATTACTCTTCACGATTCCAAAACCAATTTGCCTTCGAATAAAACTCAATGTGTATAATTTGTTACTATCTGTTTTGAGGGGATTATCATAGTGGAGTGCCTGGAGCATTCAAAACCGTATTCAAATTCAATTCTTTATTTATCCATTCGAGCAAATACAGCTATAGGACAAGTCAAAAAACATATAGACATACAACAAAGTACAGTGAGTAAAATGATAAAATAAAATAAATTATGTACATGCATAACAAGGATTGCAGACAAAATACAATTAACATAGGATAGTGAAATAATACATGTTTACAGGTTGTTCTTTAAAAAATTAATTCATAATAATCTTCTAGGGAGTAGGGACACAGATCAATTAGTATCTTTTTCACTTCAATAAGAAATTTCCGGTTTGAAAAGGATCTATATCTTTGTGGAAGTCGATTATAGAGTCTTAAGCCAAGTACNCGTATAATTTTCATTATCGTACACTTGGGCTCTTATATCTCTCCGAATAATTTCGCTCGCCGCTTTCAGAATATGAAATTCTTCTTCTTTACTATTATATTTTTGATTGTACCAATTTTCTGTTAATACATCATGGTTAATTTTTTTAAAACATATAATGGTATTGGACCCAAATTTAGTTGAAATGATTATATCATCGTGAAAGCGTTCTATTAGTCGTTTTTTAATAGTTTTTTCATCCGGGATATGCTCTGTAGTGATGACGTTTTTCAACTCTTGCATGGTATAAATTGGCAATTATCATTCTCTTCTATGTACTTGTATATTTGCTCCATTGCTGCATCGACCATCGAAATTCTCGGATTGATTTTCTTTTCAACATTACTGAGGTGAATTGAATTTTTCAGCAAATTATAACAATCCGAATGATATTTTGCTGCAAGTGTCTGTAAGTTGGTTATACCAGAAATCCTTTTATGGATATCTCGATAATAATAAGTTTTCTGGACGGCTATAATATTCGTGATGGATTCATTTAAAGTTGGAGTGTTGATGTATGAAATCTGCCTACGCCGAGCATTATTTAATTTTGCTTCTTTTGTTTTATCAGCTTCTTGTCCGCAAAGAAAACAGTTTTTTTCCCAATTGAAGTTCACGGACCTTATTTTTAGACATTCCAATATACTTTTTATTAATATATTTTTGTCGACAACTTGAATGAGCATAAACAAATTCAGTCTGTAGGTGAGGTAACAATCCATCTTGTCGTTTGGTTGAAGCAGCTTGTAAAGAGGTTGCTCCTCTACTAATTTTAATCATTTCACCATATTATGCAGCTATTTTCATCAGCCATGCTGCTAGCCGTTGGTTTATCCATTCTTCGAAATCTAATAAAAAACAATTGATAATTAATTAATTGCATTCGATTCATTATCATATACTTTTTTTTATTGAAACAGATCTTTAATTTTCGATTTATTTATTATTTAATTAATTCAATAATGAACTGTAGTTTTCAATCTAATCACTTACCAAATTAAGCAATACAAAATAATTTGTAA